GAATTGGATTCGAAAGTAATTGAATCAGCCTAAGTGGACTTTTGGCAAGAAAAGAGAATTATTGAGTTTTAAGTACAACTGTGATATTCCATAGTGTAAATAGTTTTTGTACATATGTTTGACTTGTTTGGAATATTTTATTTTAAAACAAGTGGATTGTGTGCTGTCTGTTTATTATTCGAATTTATTGCCAACAAGTCACAGACACCTACTGTAGAAGAATCTTTAGCCCACATATGCATAAAACACTGACAGTATAAGCAGCCATGGGGTGATGGCTGTTAACTGATGATTGCTCCAGCATGGTATTAATGGCAGTAAAGTGTTAGCTGTTGACTGTTCTGGCATGCTGGTAATGGAAGTGGTGAGTTAGCTATCAGTTGGTGACTGTTCTGGTATGGTATTTATGGAAGTAATATATTGGCTGTTAGCTGTTGACTGTTCTGGCATGCTGGTAATGGAAGTGGTGAGTTAGCTATCAGTTGGTGACTGTTCTGGTATGGTATTTATGGAAGTAGTATATTGGCTGTTAGCTGTTGACTATTGTGTAATACTATTATTGGTCATAGGATGTTGGCTGTCAACTGTTTACTGTTCTTGCATGGTGTTAATAGCAGTGGAATAGTGATTCTCAGCTGTTGACTGTTCTGGCATGGTTTTAATGATCAAATGGTGTGGATTGTCAGTTGTTGATTGTTCTGCATTGGTGTTAATGGTCATGGGGTGTTGGCTGTCAGTTTTTCATTAACCTGGCATGGTGTTGACTGTTAGCTGATGACTGTACTTGCATGGTGTTAATGGCAGTGAGGTATTGGCTGTCAGTTTTTCATTAACCTGGCATGGTGTTGACTGTTAGCTGATGACTGTACTTGCATGGTGTTAATGGCAGTGAGGTATTGGCTGTCATAATGGCAGTGGTGTGTTGGCTTTCAGCTGTTGACTGTTCTGGGATTGTGGTAATGGTAGAGGTATTATCTGTCAACTTTTGACTGATGGGGCATGAGGTTAATAGCCATGGGGTGTTGCCTTTCAGCTGTTGACTGTTCTGACATTGGTAAGGGCAGTGGGGTTTGGCTGTCACATGTTTACTGTTCCAGCATGGTATTAATGGCCATGGGGAACTGGCTCTCAGATGTTGATTGTTCTGGCACAGTGTTAATGGCAGTGGTGAATTGGCTATTAGCTTTTGACTATTGCATCATAATGTTAACAGCCTCAGAGTGTTGACTGTTCCACCATGGTGTTAATGGCAGTGGAGTGTTGACAGTTCTAGCATGGTAGAAATGGAATGTGCATTTGATTTTTAGCTGTTGACTGTTCTGACATGATGTTCATGGAAATTGCATACTGACTGTCAGCTGTTGACAGTTCTGGCATGGTATTGACTCAGCTGATGACTGTTCTTACAATGATGTTAATGGTAGTGGGATATAGTCTGCCAACTGTTGAATGATCTGAAATGGACATATGGTGTTGTTCTTCAACTTCTGACTCTTCCAGCATGGTGTTGAATCTTAGCTGGTGACTATTCTTGCATGATATTAATGGCAGTAAGATATTGGATATCAGCTGTTGACTATTCAAGAATGGTGTTAGAGGCAGTGGAGTGTTAATGGCAGTAAGATATTGGATATCAGCTGTTGACTGTTCAAGAATGGTGTTAGTAGCAGTGGAGTGTTAATTCTCAGCTGTTGATTGTTCTGGCATGCTGTTAATGGCTGTCAGCTGTTGATTATTCTGCCATGGTGTTAATGACAATGATATATTGACTGTTCTGGCATTGTGATAATGGCAGTGGGGTATTGACTTTCAACTACTGACTGTTCTGACATGCTGTTAATATCTGTGAGGTGTTGGGTGTGAACTGTTGACTGTTCTGGCATGGTGTTATTGGCCATGGGGTATTTGTTGTCAGCTGTTGACTGTTCTACAAAGGTGTTAAGGTCAATAGTGTGTTGACTTTCAGCTGTTGACTGATCTGTCATGATGTTAATGGCAGTGAGGTATTGGGTGTCAGTTGGTGACTGTTCCATCATGATGTTGGCTTTGAGCTAGACTGCTCTGTCATGGCGTATCAATTGTTGATTTTTCTGGCATGGTGTTGACTGTCAGCTGATGACAATTTTTTGGATGGAGTTAATAGCAATGGAATCTTCACTTTCAGCTTTTGAGTGTTATGGGATGTAATTAATGGCAATGGTGTATTTGCTATCAGCTATTGACTGTTCTGGCATGGTGTTAATGATCATGGGGTGTTGGCTGTCAGTTGTTGGTTGTTTTAGCATGGTGATGGTTGTAGGATGTTCAATGTCAGGTAATGATTGTTTTGGCATGGCGAGGATCATACTGTCTTCACCTCAAGTTCAAAAGACCAGAGGGATCTCAAACCCCCTTGACTCTGGAGCAGGGCACAGGTTAAGAATAAAAAATGATATATTGATCTGGGAACCCAACATCTGGTATTGAAAAGATGTCTATCATATAGAAATCAACTCTCTCAACAGTGAACCTGAATAAGATACATTGAGGGAAAGCAGAAGGGAAAGAACCATAACAATCCTAAGTACCTCCACTGTGATAACCTTCAAGCAATTTTATGGAACGTTATTTCGACAGTGTGCATTACGTGGCCATGGAACATAATAAGCAAGTTGACATGGCTGAACAGTGCAGATTTTAAAGGTTAAAGAATTCATGTTCAGGCGCACTCACCACAGAGTTGGATCCAGTAAGAAAAGGAGGGACATGCCCTGAAAAAAAAGAGGTATGTATGTGAAAAAGTAACTTACCCAGTCACAGTATCATGAAAAAGTGAAGAATGGCAACGGGTGAATGATGGTACCCCGACAAGAAAGAAACGGCTACCCAAAGCAGAGAATGGAAAAAGAATGTATGAGATGTAGTCCCAGTGCTTGACAGACCAAGTACCTCCAACTGATGGCAGAGGTGCAGGTTAGGAGTGAAGAAGGGTACAAGGAAGAAATGGCCAATCGAATCACAATCTAAACCCAATGGGTAAGGGTGGAAGGGATATATAATAGACAAAGAAGTGGAGTAAAGGGAAGAAACGTGTCAAAAAAAAACTTAGATATGCCTGGCACATTCTGCAGTAGAGGCCTGAAATGCACTCCATGATAGGGTGGAGGAAAACTGACAAATCTAGTCCATCTGAAAAACGGGTTCCGCCATTATAGGAGGAAAACAAACAATATTGGGAGCAGGTAGGGTGGGCACCAGCCCCCAGGGGTCCTCACAAACAAAAGTAGTGGGAAGAAGTAGAAATTACATGTTAAATTCAATTAAAGGCAAGAAGTATAAAATATAAGTTAAATGAAAATAATGTTAAGAAATTGTGTAGTGAAATAAACAGGTGGATGTGATGTTCCGTGTTGAAGAAAAGATGAATAACCTAAATATCGATAAACCACGGAAAAACCAAAATTAACAGACACTTATGGAAGAAGATATTTAACATCATTAACGATTAATATGGAAGTAGAACTACCGGTAAACCAAAAATAAACATTTAAAAAGCCTAATTGAACAATATTAAAGATATCAATAAGCCCTAAAAGAAATACTTAACCATATAATAAGTATGTACAATATTGGGATAAGTTTGGGTGGACCACAGGTCAAAACTTCCACACAAACTTAGTGAATAGGAAGAAAAACAATATTGTGAATTTAATTATAGATATACCAGTAAGAGGAATTACAGGTAATCCTATGTGAATGGAATAGTAGAAGAATACAACTAAGACTAATGGCCAACCTAAACTTAACTACGAGTGTTAAGCAATCAAATGAAACTTATGTTATTGAACCCAAATAATGACAGATAATAATATTTACAATAAAAGTATAACATCTTATCTTTCTAAAATCTGTGAACGGTATTGCAAATGTGTGACCCCCAAAATTGAGGCAGGGCCCAAAGAAAGTCAGTTCATAGGACGATCAATCTCCCAATGAAGCATAGCTGAAAATCTTCCTGCAGAGTACCGTGACCTGAAGCCTGTGTAAAGTGCTAAACGATCATATAACCTTCGAAGTGGTAATGCAAAATTCATAATGAAAAATGAATAAACAAATACAACTGTGTTGGTAGAAATAATAAAAGTTTCTTGTAATAACTAAATAAGTTCTGTAACTGGCTAGAAATATAAAATAATTCCACTTTGGAATAACTCAACAAGTTACAAATATCACTATTGTATAATAAAGAGTAAACTTGTTGAGAGAAATGAATACAAAGATAGAGAAAAATATTAAAATAAAACACTTGAAGAGAGCGCAAACTAAACGTTAAAACATGAGTAGTGCCAAACAAGAAGTGATAGTCTGGTAGAATGGAATAGAGGTAGTCCCATGCATAACAAGAGTGTGTGGCACTTTCATTGGTGGAGGGTTGTTACATGAGAGATACATTGGAATGAGTCATTTCCAATGGATGGGAGACACAAGGCTTGTGGCATGTTTAAACAAATTTGTTTTTCATATAGAGGGCAGCACTGAATGAGAATAGCTATTTGTGTGAAAGGAGGTAATTTACAGTATCAGAACCAATATGTTATGACCTCAATAGCTTTCCATAGATAGGATCTAAAAAAGCTAAGAGTGATGTGTTCAATAAATGGTGTAAAGACAGAATGCACGATGATAAAGATAAAATTACCCACTTTTATGCAAGTGACTAATCAGTTTTTACATCAGCAATTCACTTCAGTTGTTCATTCTGTAAAAATACAATCAAATAATTAGAAATACCCCAACTATATAATTTTTATTGCTTTTAGTTCCTGCTGGTGCATAATTATTATTCTTTCATGATGATCAATAAATAGCATTATTTTATTTCACACATTTTTATTTATAGGGATTTCTTTATAGGACATGTTATTTGTTTGATAGAAGTTATAGCAGTAGTCTTATTCACTTCTTTCATTTTATTGTTTGATCTTATTATTTACAGTTCTATAATACTTTAAATACAACATTCTAATAATAACTTACTTATTTGTTAACTATTTCATAAAATGCTGCAAAAATCAAATTTCTTTATAACTTGTTTTCAGTCTACTCTTCTTAATTGTCTTTTAGTATATACATTATTAGTCTTATTGGTGCTGGCCAGGTAATATCTGTAAAACAAAATACGAAGGTAACTCCAACTTATAGTAAACATTCAGCAATGTATTAGTCATATAAAATGTGATCCACAACCATGCAGGTCTCTTAACTTGTTCTCTCTTAAAAGATTTATTTCTCCAATAGAGTATATCTGTATAACATATTACCATGTAGAAAAAGTAATGTAGGGTACAACTTTACAGTTTTAAGAAAATGGATGGTGAATATTTGAAGGATTTGGTGAATAGCTTCTATTTGTTGCTTTTTTTTTCTATTCCTTCATATTCCACAATTTATTTACATTATATTCTGGATATGCAAAAATGTGACATCTCTTTTGTTTTCTCAACATTCAGAACATTAAGTTACAAGGAATTTATTATATGACACATAAATATCTAAGCAGCTGTTTCAAGAAGCTTTAGTGTGCTTACAAAGTTTATTAATACCTAGAAGTTTATAACTCAACTTATGAAGATATAGGCCAACTCAGTCAGCAGCTATATCAGGAAGCTTTAGAATGTGCTTACAAAGTTTATTAATACCTAGAAATTTATAACTCAACTTATAAAGATGTAGGCCAACTCAGTCAGCAGCTATATCAGGAAGCTTTAGAATGTGCTTACAAAGTTTATTAATACCTAGAAGTTTATAACTCAACTTAAAGATACAGGCCAATTCAGTCAGCAGCTATATCAGGAAGCTTTAGAATGTGCTTACAAAGTTTATTAATACCTAGAAATTTATAACTCAACTTATAAAGATGTAGGCCAACTCAGTCAGCAGCTATATCAGGATGCTTTAGAATGTACTAATAAAATTGATTAATACCTAGAAGTTTATAACTCAACTTATGAAGATATAGGCCAACTCAGTCAGCAGCTATATCAGGAAGCTTTAGAATGTGCTTACAAAGTTTATTAATACCTAGAAATTTATAACTCAACTTATAAAGATGTAGGCTAACTCAGTCAGCAGCTATATCAGGAAGCTTTAGAATGTGCTTACAAAGTTTATTAATACCTAGAAGTTTATAACTCAACTTAAAGATACAGGCCAATTCAGTCAGCAGCTATATCAGGAAG